TGCAGCAAGAATATTTTTAAAAATTTTCAAATTCTTATGACTAATAACTTCATGACTAAACGTAGAACTTTCGGAGCGTGTCCTATCGTGTGTCTTTCATCGATATTGCTATGTCTTTCGGGACGAATAGACTGATGATTTTTCATACCTGAGCTTGTAAAAATCTCTTTCACTATTTAGAAGCCACTAAATAAATACACCTTATAACTTTTCAAAAGTTTGCATCTTGATATTGCAGCAAAGAAAACGTTGGACAAAAATTAAAATACAGATTCTTATGGTTGACTACTGAAGAAAGTCAAAAATTAACTTAAATCATTACAAATATTTTGAAAATTGAATTCAAATATGCATAAAATAATTTTTTCTAATAAATAGAGTTTTTATTCCATTGAATAATTAAAAGAAAATTAAAAAGATGAAATAAAAGTTCAAATTTTTCTTTAAATATTAAAAATTAATATTATTTAATGAAATAGCAAAGAAAAAATTTTCAAATATGTGATTTAAAAATACTTCGTTTATTATAACATAAGAATTTGTTGAAATTTCTATTCAATTTCATTTCAAGAAAAGAATTACTCCAATAATTGGAGCATTGAATAAAGTTAGTAAAATACTCCAAAATATAAAGAAAGATCAACAAACAGCAAAAAGTGCCAAGTCTGATTAAAACGAGATACAAAAGTTATAACAGTCTTGTCTAAACATAATATGGATTTAATCTTGATTTAAAACAAAACCCAGACGTTGTGTTTTGAAGTGTCTTGAGTAGATTGGTATAGTAAGTAAAGTGAAATCGTGGAGCAGTGAAATTCATCTCTACTTTTACATCACCATGAGTCAAACAACTGCGCAGTGCCAATTCTCACTGATATTCAGTATTTATCACTTTCTAAAACGAACATTGCAGGATATGATTGTAATTTTTGGTAAAGAAATCGGTTCACTCTTCATTGTCGACAACAAACAGTCGACAGCAATACACATTAATCATATTAATTTCTCCAGCTAATAATCAAAATGATTTTTATTATATATTTAAATAAAATACTTTATTGTAACGCCTAAAATTAATTCTGATAGTTTAATGGATCTAAACAGCTGATGAGGTTTGTGGCTAGGGATTAGTTTGCTAGAAAATAATTATAACTTCGAAAGTAAGATTATAGTATTGGTGACTTCAACATCAACTACAATGCTAGTGTTTAATTTCTCTTGTTCTTAACTTTAAATCTCGTTAATTTTGGCCTCTTCAATGCACAATAGAATTCATTTTAATTCTTGTTTCTACAAATATTATTATTTTTCTGAAGAAATACTTTACCAATTATTTTAATAAAAGCTAAATCATGATAATTTGTCAATAGAATAGGCGCTCAATGAATTGTATGATCAGTTGTGAATACATAAAAGTAATCATTATTTCATTCTATAATTCATTTCAATGTAAATAACACACGAAACTTGAATTTTTCAACATAGTTTGACGCAATATGTCTATTTCGTACGTCACCACCATTTTACTAATGGTGATGTAATTGTAAATAACGATACATGTATGTGTAACATTAATATTTAAAAAAAAAAAAAATTAACATTCATTTAACTTGGTGAAATGGTAGGTTATATCAAATAGATGATTTATTCCAATGTTATAAATTTCTTCATCTATTCGTAGTCATCAAGCTAATCTATTTAGAGACAAGCAAACTGACACATTCTGAATGCTATATACTTTAGCTATTGTCTACTTTTGTAATTGTAAAAATCCTGACGAAATTCTACAGATTTATAACTCCTGCCTTTTATTGACCTTCTGTAAGGATACGAAGGTAATTATTGCTGCAAATACTGTAAATACAATTCTAGCTCTTTCTTACGGTTAAGTGTCATAAGAAGACGTTGAATAGTCTAGTAACCATTCTTTTCATTTTGGAGAAATTTTTTGTTCTTCTTACCTAAGTGTTATAATTTATTTGAATTCAGGTCAATATATAATAGTGAAGAAGAAATTTTAAATGGTTTGCCAACAATTAGTTTTTAGTTCTTTTTTTTCTGGAAACCTCTGAAATACAATGAATGTATCTAAAAGAGCTTCTTACTTATCTGTTTGGAAAATAAAGTACAACTGAGGAAAGTCTACTGTAATTCGTCAATAAAGAGTTTGCAGAATTAGTTTGAAGAATTTTTCTTGTGAAATACTCGAGTACGAAATGATACTATCTATCGAGACCAATTCATTGCTTTAATTCTTTGTTATTGTTTCAAAGTTTCTCTTATTTTTTTTTTGGTCTCGTGCTCCATATAACGTAAAAATTAAAATTGTTTTTTTTTTTTTAGTTCTTTGACATTTCATTCATTTAAATTACTATTCTCATTGATAATTTATCAAAACTATACTCTTGTCTGCAGATTAAAAATACTGAACAATGATATTCATCAAATTCCATATCACATGATACTATTTATTCACAATAATTATTTAAATCTCGAATATAATTAATTTTAAAATAAATAGATTATTTTATGAATAAAATACTCCAATAATAAACTATTTTTGGAGTTAATTTAAAATTACTACATACGTCTACTCTTCTTCTAGTTGTTTACAATTTTTTTTCGTCTTATAAAAGACGCAATTTAATGATCTTTATCGGAGTTCGATTATTTTTCAATAATAATATGTACATTTAAATAAAATTTCTGGGGTTTAAAATGAAAGGTGTGTCTCCTTCAGATAAAAAACATTTGTACAAATCATAATCAACCGATAAATCTTGTAAGGTATTTTGCGTATTATGTTCTACACATTGATATTTTATTATTAAAACTTTATATATTTTTATCAATATTCATCATCTAAAAATACAAAAAAAATGCAAATAAATTGTAAAAACAATTAACATGATTTTTAACTAAAATAAAATCTATATAATAAACTACAAAGTCTCTTGTTTTCTCACACACCTTATGGAGTGTATAATTGATAGATCGGTTTCGATACATAAAACTTTTGTAATGACGTCAAAGTATCGATAAACTAATCAATCAAACTCGTATTGAGGACAATTATCATAATATGTACATAAAATTCATACGTTTTACAAAGAAAATTTATTTCTATTTAAAGTATATGTTTTTCGTTTATGTTAACTTAACTTCGAAGTGGATCCTTCAAGAAGAAGATAATTTTTAAAATTGTGGAGACTTAGGTTTACCAACAGGAGCACCTGAACATTGAAGAACAATTTTAAAACCTGAAAAGAGTGAAACCATTCTCAGTCTTTCTGCGAAATGAATATTTTCAAGTTAAAGTTAAGGTCCTGAAGGACGAGACAGGTAGAAAGTTGAATAGACAAGCGACAAACCGTTATGACTTGTTGAAGATTAATACGGAAAAGGACTATGATGGGTACAAACACTATACAAAGTGTAAAAGCTACAGCTAAGACTGGCGTCATTCGTTACGGAATTATTAGCTTCTTAACGCACCTAAAAGTATAAAACTTTCAACTACATAATAACAGGATAAGAATAGAATACTTTAGTACAGTCCAATGTTGAAGTCTATTTGATTGTAATGCTGATTGTTGCTATTTAGAGAAACTTATTATTAGCATAATTTGGAAAAGAATGACGTCACTAATCAATGTAAATACTTGGAGCTGATAAATAAAAGTATATTTGAAGCGTGGGTTGAATTGGTAGAACCAGTAAATTCGTACGTTACTGGTGAGTGAGGAGCCAAACTAACGATAAGTGACAAGCTGAAACTTGTGTGAATGTGTAGAGTAGCGCGCGTGCGCTCGACTTGGTGCTACATCGAGATAACTTGAGAGAGTTAAAAAAAGACGGAATGCGAATGAGAAGAAGTAATGATGGTTGAATGTACATAGGTGTTATACCGTGATGATACTAAAAATGAACAATTGTATGTGATAAGTTGGTTTGTTATGATGATTGTTAGTTAAATAATTGAACGCATCAACTAATTTTGAAGAGTCGAATGATCAATGACAAGATCAAAGTATGAGATACAACATACGGAAGGAGCGTAATCTCATTAGTATGGCACGTGCCAAGCGAGCGCCTTCAGACTCGCGCGTCACAAAGCCCCAACACTTTCAACGTCCTTCGACTCGAGGTCTCTTTCTTTGAGAGTCTAAAATGTTTGCTACACGAAAAATGATGACCCCATATTACAGACGTGCGTGTTCACCAAGTTGTGTTTAACTAAATACACGTATTGACCTACTATTCCAGCCTTGGTTATATTATGTTTTCAACTCTCAATGCGTTGATTCACCAGATGATGAGTTAACGAATAATTCTTCCATACTTGTGTATTTTTTATTATTATTTTGCTTTTTATTTTTCTACAGATGGTATATCGATAAGAAGCATATCAACCTTGGACTTGTTTTGTGTACATTAGTTAATATGTACTCCTCTGTCAACTCTCAATGAATTTTTTAATTAAAAAAATGACGAAAAGATAATTTTTAATATATAATGAGTATTGTAAACGATTTGAGAATGAATAATTTTTTGAAGAGTCAGTCGTGAATGGTATGTGTCTATTTAATAATGAATGATGAATTAGCTGACAAAAGCTAAAAACAAGATGTTGGTGAGTAGTGTACGTTTATTTGAAACACGTTTTTATATCAAAGCCGTGTGCGTATTTACCAGGATCATATAAGGCGTTTTTTAGTTCGAGACAACGTCGCGAAGGAGGAAAAGGGACCATGAACGCATACAATATAATATCTACAGAGACCTTTCTTTCGGCGTTGTCGGGACTCCACCTACACGTCGACGCGTCCCCATGAAGTTACTACGCCGGCGTTGACGAAGCAAAGTACAATCTGGCAACAGTGGCTTGCTATAACCGATATTGTGGCCGTGGATTGAATGGAGGGGAACTAGCTCAGGTCAAACCTCCCCACCCCCGACACGGCAACTCCTTGTGAGCGTCCTCGTCGACCCCATGCTCGTGCCCCACCAGGACTATAGAATTTCGTCTTTCTCATGGGTTCATCTCTCTGTCTAACGAGCACCCCACCAACGTTTCTACACACGGCCAGCTCCCCCTTTTAGTCTCGTCGTCAACAGACGCTCTCCCACACCCCTTAGGATTCCATACAACAGCCAGCTTGTTCTCAAGCCGTTTAGCGTGGTGCAGTGTAGTATTTGCCAAGCTTGTTGGTGTAAGTGTGTCTACACTCCACAATACACTCAAATGTGTTTGTACATATTCACCACGTCCTGACTGTGTCGTTGTGCTGCCGCAAATCCTCCCACCACTGGCGTGCATTTTGACGACGAATCGACGGTGGGACAGGGACAGACGCACGCCGCAGGCACCCGGGGTCCACACAGCCGTCCATTGGCTTCAACAACCTCTCACTAGACAGTATTACTTTCAACCGTTTAGCGCACACGCCGGGACTTATGCTGCCCGGACAGTAAAGTTTGTCATACGTGAGCCACTCAGTACAGGACTTTATACCAAGTGTTTTCTACTGAAACACTTGGGAAATAACATACAGCATAAACAAATGTTTCAGACTCTACAATTATTGTGAAATTTCCAGCAGGTAGCGGCCTTTTGCATTGTCGCTCCTGCTGTCAACAATTGTGTCTAGACATGCTACATTTGGCTAAAAATTTAGACTTGGTGACACGACTTTCAGTTGCTGTGAGACTCTCCTAAACGACACTTGGATATTTTTATGTGGCTTATTTTCTATTTTCACTTGGAATTTTTTCATCATTTTTGTTATGATTACTAATTCATTACTTGGACTTTCTATCATTCTACTCGATTTGTGCGTGCGCTTTTGATACTTGTGTGTAGAAATCATCACTGGAACTGAGTAAATATTTCAAGTGCAACTCATTCGCTGTGTTTATAACATTTATTAGTGCATTAAAAATATATTCATTCTGTATTATGGATAATAGGGACCAAAATTGTTACTCTTTTACGGATTAATTCATTTATTTATTATCTAAGTTATGTGTGTGTGTGACTGTGGGTATTGATATTGGATTATAACTCATCTACATAGTTGACTCGATTCTTCGGATATTCCAATCAATTTATAACAGGTGAGCGTATTATTTTCAATTGTTTTGTATTCGTTACTTACTCATTGTCCATTTGGTGACTGTCCAGTGTATAATAACAAATCTAATAGTGACATAACAAGACGCTATAACATTTTGCCGGTTATCATATTATGTACCAAAGAGTGTGCGCGTTTCTAAACTTTGTCAACTTGCCACAAACATACGCGTATAATTGAAACATTGGTTCGCATTTAAGTATGCAAAGCCCTGTAACGAGTATTTTTAAAACAATTGTTACAATTTTTTTCTTATCGCTTACTCCTATTTTAACTTATGAGTCATTTATTTGATTAAATATTTCAATGTTATTTAAGCGGTTTTTAAATCACTTTCAATTTTAAAATAATCGATCTTTTCTTAAATCAATATTAACCATTTAAATGTTTATTTTAAAATATTTTGATATTTTTATTTTTTTTTTTTGGTTTGATAGATATCGAGGGAATGGAAATTCTTATATTAATTATGTTAATTATCAATTGGAAATTTAAAATAAATACTAATTATATTGAACACAATTCAGTTACGAGAGAGGAAAGGAGAAATAGAAAAACTTTACTGCGGATGCAGCGCTTTCACAACGAGTGATTGTTTCAAAGATGTGTCAGAAAGTCACGTCCATCATATATACAATCATCGATTGTTTATAAGGAATACCTTTTTTTAAACTGAAAGTATCACTGATAATCACGAAATTATCAGTATCTTTATTTAACTTATCTCTTTCTTTCCAACTTAATTAATAATAAATTTATAGTTATTTCTTTTCCTGTTTAGCAAATATACTCAAATTTCAATAAATAATGTTTTACAAAATTTTTATATCAGCGGTGAAAAATAAAAAACTAAAAATGTAAACTTGAAAAAGAAAAAATATGATAATGCATAAGAAGACGATAATTGAAATCAATATCAAGACAAACGTCACGTTATCGGAGTAATTCGAAGCGTGCTTTAATTCTACGTAATCCCTACCACATTATCATTTCGCTTTTACCCACTATCTTGAAATGTGTGTAGATTTCCTCGTATAGAAGTGTATACACTCGTTGGCTGATAAATACATCAACAGACCAGGTCACTTCCACTTCATTTCTTTATTTGCTGTACTCGTAAATGTATTCAATTATTCTACTTTCCACATTTACGATTATGTAGCTTCACCTGTAAAACCTGACTCGTCAGTTCATCTATAAACATATATATATATATATATTGTCACTGTAGAATATAATATTAATGACAATTGATTAACATCTTTAATACAATATACGAAGTGATATTAAATTCATTCAAATGAAATATAAAACACAAGAAATATTTTTATCATGATATTTAGAGCACAAGTAAATTCCATTATATAACGTACATTCGTAATAAAGAGGAATATAAATGATTTGAAAAAAAAAAAATTAAGTCGTAATGAAAGGAAATTATTAATTTGTCAATTCTGGCATCACAATAGCCATTTACGATGCAAATAAATGCGCCTTACTGAGCCTCAAAGTATAATCTTAGAGTGTTTTAAAAGTTGAGAAAGCAAAAGAAATTTTTCTCTCTCGTAATATACGTTATATATAAGCCATGAGAAACGTATAGAAGAATATTTGTTTCGTAGACGTTATTATGTGAATTGCGAATATAAGGGAGCGATCCTGACGGGTGGTCTAGATTTTGGAGCTCACAAAAGCCAACGAGCAAAAAAAAAAAGGAGAGAATTTATTTTCTGATCACGTTGAAATTTATAGAAGTGTCCTTGATTTGTCCTTAAATTGACTAGAATGCCGTTTTGATGTGCTTAGTGAATGCGTAGAACTGACGAAAGCTACAATATTATGCACCATTAACTATTAGAGATAGTTGCTTGACAGCACATAATAATTTATGCAAACATAGATGATAAATCGATGTCGGCGAGCAATTGGATATTAAGAGAAATGTCTTTCTATTATATGTTAACAAAATAGTCACTACTGGTAATACCGATTGACTACATATTTATTATTATATCTCTTTTTTTTATACAACAGCGAGAAATAAATATATATAATTATTTCGAGTGAGATAGAAAAAATATGAACTTGAACTTTTAAATGGAAAATAGTACTAGCGATATCTCAATTAACTAGAGATATATATATAGTGTAAAGGTTGCAACGATGCGAATTAAAATTTCACACAATTCGTTCCGGAAGAGAAATCCTCCATGTGTCACAAGGGATGATGTTACATGTTGAACAATAAGGCAACCTTCGTGCACTATTTTTTTCTCATCTCAACATTCAGCCTGAGGTAAAATGGAGTTAATTTTTGAAGACTATTTTCTAAGTATATATATGTCAGACAAAGTGAATTTTAAATATAATTTTTCCCTTACATTTTAAGTATTTTTTTCTTTCATTTGTACTTTGTATAAGTTACTTTTTTTTTTTTTTATTTCTCGTGAAAAGAACGATTGGTTGATAATTTTATATGACAGTTTTCATTATTTATTCTTAGTTTACAAACACGAGAGTATCACTTCAAATAGTATATTATGATCGCTTGGTAATGTCACTCAACTATTCACACGATTCCCTTTACATATTTGTGTATTTTTAAGTCTATCAACTGCCATTTTTGACGTGATATTTTATTAAAGAGATACGTCATTCTGATATTTATAGCGATCTATGAAAAGTTTAATAAAACTTTCATTTTTAATCATTATTTTGCGTATTTTTCTATGTAAACACATTTTATTTTTTAAATGTTCAATAATTATTTCTTGTAAGAATTTCTTTTAAGAATTGTGTAATAAAAACTGGCTTCTAGTTGTGAATAAAATATTTCATTGATCGATCAAATAAGGTATCAATAATTGTTCAATCCTGTAAAGAATGTTAACTCTAATTCGGTGATTTGTCAATAAAACTTTAATGACTCTGAAAAACATAGGTAACATTAAATATATCTTTTGAATTGTATTCAATAATTAATATTCTCTAGAGAAATTTAATTAATGAGAATATTTATCGCAACAATTCGCGAAATATTTCTTAATTATATAAATAATTAAAGCAGCCAATTATTTAGAAATTTTTAAAATAACAACAAAAAGACAAATGCTTCCCTCTTATATAAAAACTTTCAGGAACGTAATCAATTTTTTTAGAGCTCCTATTTCTCTCAAATAAATTTTTCTTTCATCACACAGTCAATCAATTTATCAAAGAATTATACAAAAGAAATAAATATAATAACTGACAGAGCTGTCAATAATAATACAATGGCCAATCCTTTATTCAGTATAAAAAGCCCAACGATTTTCGGCAAAATTGGCGATATCCCACAATTATATAGTATATGTAGATCTCAATTTATGTAACGGTCAAGAGGTTAAGTTCCTGGGAAAGTTACCAGAGCGACGATTGGACTAATGCTTCCGTAATTTCATCATCGACCAATCAGCTACCCGAAACAACTTTCTCCCGAATTCCATGACGAACTATTCCTTTGTCGTTACAAGAGCATAAGGAAGAAAGAGCAGGAAAGGTGGAACAGAAAAGAAATTCAAAGGCAAACCGTTTTGTTGTGTCGATGAAATGAACGCGTATTTGACCCAACCGCAACTGCATTCGTTTATGTGTATACTTTTATATATGTATAGATGTATACATACATTTAGGGGGAAGCTTTCCAACGCTTATTTCCGGCGTTGGAAACATCCAAATCTTCAATCAATTCATACTGAAAAAAAATATTGAATTAATGCATTGAGGTTCAATTGACCGACCTGCATACAATCATATCCCATACAATGATCCGTAATAAATGATGTAATTTAACCGCTATAAATTTTAAAAAGTTTCAATATTTATAAGAAACATTTTACTTCGGTACAAGTTCTATTGTCAAGATCTGTTTTGTTATATAGTCAAATTTGTATAATTTGCTTTTAATAATCTTTTTATTCATTTGTCAAGAAACCCAAGTTAAAATTATGAAATATTATTTACTTTTCATTAGACTTTGACAACTTTTTATCCATCTTTGACAATATTTTCCTCAAATGAATAAAAGATTGAAATTAAATTTTTCAAGCATTTTATTACATTTTTTTTTTCAATATTAGAATGATTTATTCATTTTCAAAGATTCATTTACTCCATTTGACTCCTACTATTTTGTTAAAAAAACCATAATTGGAATTTTATTAAACAGTTTGTCTCTTATTAACCTTTAATAAATCGAATTAAAAGAGACTTCACAGTCGTTTGATATGCTTGGTATTGTTCTTGTGTTTGTTATAATCGACTATGTCGACCTCTAGTGCATCGTGATGGTGCGCGGTCACGATTATCGCGACGAATCACTTTATATATAGTACCTATTTTGATGTGTATGCGCGCGCCATATACCATCCCCTAAAAATAACCCAGTTATTTCAAATAAGTAAATCCACACCGAGAATCCTGACAATCAAATTGACTCCAATCGATGCCTTATTCTTCTCTCCTTTTTTTTTCTCCCTCGTCCAACGATTCACTGAATTATTTTATTCTTGTTCAGCACTTCTAATCAATAGAAAGACCATAATCACCGAATTATTCCAAAATAGTACTAATTAATTCTATTAATATTGATTACATATTTTGGAGTTAAAATCTTTGAACATGATACAATTATTATTGTCAATTTCCAGTATGAGTATTGTTTATTGTAAACTGCAAACTATCCTTGCGTAACGGTCCGCATTATGATCACACGATTGATTGCATAATCTGCATCTATGTATGCGCCCTTATTACGTTCTATTTTTAACAAATGACAAATATACTAATAATATTATGTATTTCGGAGTAATATATATCATTAATATTATCATTTCCTTGTTTTGTCGATAATAAACAAGTTATGTTGTAATAAAAGTATCAAGTAAAAGGATAATAATTGGCATATTTATTGAAATGCATTGAAATAAGTGTATATACGTTATGTGATTGTTAAGTTGAAAAAATGCATTTTTTGTCCATTTTTTTAAAACCATTTTTGTTCGTTAGTAAAATTATGCATCTGATAAATTATTAATTAAATTTACATAATAATTCTGTATAAAGAGATTCTTTTTTGTATTCACTTAGACTTTTTAACGTACATCAAATGCAAAACGAACTTCTAAGAAAAAAAATTACGTATTCATGCTTAAAAGACTCCATATTGGAAATTGATAAAAACACCTGGCCTTTGTTGGCCCTTCAATTTGTTTCATTCAAGCAAGTTTTTCATCAAAATTCTAAGAACTAATAGTAGATTATTTCCATCGCTTTTCCAAGATCTTTGGATACGAAAAAATATTTCAACTAGCCCGCTCTTCAGATTCTCCTGGAGCAGATGGTATTTCCGTTCCATATATAACATAGTAGTATAGAAATGACTAAGAGGGAAAGAAAGATGTAGACCTCGTGTGCAACACGTGTTGTGAACAGCAGTCCAAGTATTTTGGTCGTGCACTGCGTCAGAGAAAAGTATGTATAGATGAGTGAGAGAAGGAAAAGGTTGTTATATTTTCGTTGTGGCGTTCCTCAACGGCAAAATAGAATAAAGGAAATTTAAAAATGGTGGTTATATGAAGTATGAGCAAGAGTAGTTCTCTTTTGCGCCTGATAAGTTGTTCGAGTCAGGCTTTGATTAACGAATCTTTAAAAAATTCACTGAAGTGGGGATAGCTAGCGTGTGCGACTGCTAATTTTAGATTTACACATACACACACGAGTTATGTCGAGTGCCACGAGCCGTTTTTACGACTATAATAACAGCTAGACCGTTTATTGTATGGGCGACGATTAAATTATAAATGTCAGCCACGATTTTTATTCTGTTTAATAATTTATTATATATTTTTATTTTCATTTTGTATCTAAATTATAGTGTTTACAAATATATACAACTAATTAAATCGAAAAAAAGTATTTTTAACACAAAAAATTACTAATTTAAATATTTATCATTTTTCATCAATTAAAAATCATGAGTATCAGATTATTAACTCATTATTGCCTATTGTCTAGTATGAAATAAACATAATGATGTGTTAATGACAGCTTGTCAAAATTGTTTGGTACTAATCATATAGAGAAATAATTTTACGGAGTTACACTATGATATTCTCTATATGTTTCTGATGTATAAAATTAATTGAGTGTTAATAATAATTACAGTCATGATTCTCGAGTTTATTTATTCAATCTCCAAGTTCATAAATGTACATAATTCATCAATTAAAATACTTCAAGTATTTTCAATGATGTCAACTTTTTTTTTAAATACCCTTAATAAAAATATTTTTATCTAAAATTGTTACAGTATTTATTCTTAAGCTTCTTGTAGATTACTTCTATTTTGCTTCAAGTTTAATTAAAGTATACCTATCTTTCTTTTGATTGATAAAGTAAAATAAAGTCAATAAATATTATTGCGTGGATAATCGTCTTTTCATTATTGCGTCGTCATATTTGAAAATTTTTTCATGACATTTCAATTCAAGCGCAGCTTTCTATAAGCCATTCAATGTTCATTAATTATTAGGTAATTGAACTTTACAGTTTCTATATTCAATTAAATTATATTATTCAAATAATTACTTACATCTATTACATGTCGTATTGGATGCACAACGTTAAATAATAACAAAGCCTGTGTTGCGTAAATTTAATCTATACAGCTATTAATACATCAATATGAAATTTAATCAAAGTTTCTGTGACGTTTGAAAGAATGATAAAAATGTCTTCTCTTTAATGAAAATTAAACCTACACGAACGCAGACACTAATTAGTTCTGCTAGATCTCATGCAGATGCTGGACTTAAAATATCAAGACAAAGACTGGTTTCCGGAAAACAACATTGGATCTCTTGTTGGAAATAAAGGTTATCGAATAATCTTGCTTACATGCACCGGAATAGCATCTATTAGTATTTACCTTTTATTTTATTTAATACTACCAATAACGTATTCCGATTCAATTTGTAATTATTTTGTTGTACTCATTATGAACTAATTGAAATTTTATACCTAAACCTCTAACATCTCCCTGTAAATTTGATGCTAAACATTTCTATTTATTTTCATCAAACTAAAATCGAAATAAAAAAAACAAGCTTTTTGATCAATTACCAATTTTATGCTCTAAAAAGATTTGTATAATTTATATATTTTAGTCATTTGTCGGATTATGATTAATTCATTATGAGGGGAATTAAACTGAACACGCGTGCATCTTTTAGAATGCTGACTTGACAATGCTGCGCATGCATCTTTTCCCCCGTTTGTCTGCACTACTACGGCCGTTTGTCTGGGGGTTATAGAGCTCCAGACGCCAGACTCCAATGTTTTTAGTACTGAACCCTTAAGGGCTTATATATCGAATCCTTTATAAATATTTGAGAAATCTTATAGTAATATTTCTTAAACACTTAAATCATCAATGACTCAATAACTAGATCCTTTAGCAATGATTTTTTTTTTGTCAAGTGTCGATGAGTTTTTAACAAGGTTATAATCATTACAATTTATTAATTTTCTAGAAAAACATTTAGCAATTCTTCTTTTGGAGTAAAAATTGAGATATTTATGATGTGAAATCGATCATTTAAATTAATACTGGTTTAACGATAACAAAAAATACTTTGCCCTAAAAAGGCAAATCTAGTTAATCACTCACATTCTTTCATGTATGTACTTGCACTTATTTTCCTTTCATTAAACTCCATTACTCTGGTTATATGCAGTCTGGACATGTAGCTTTTTATGAAGACTGAAGATGTAATAAGTATAGATAAATGCTTCAATTAAACGTATTACCATTTTGCAGTGCATGCAAAGTATCTTTTACAAAATTTGATGTGTTGACACATTCTTACAAAAGCTTGTTATATTATTATACGCTCTATATCGATGATTCAATTATGATATTTTTTTCATTTCAATGATATAAATAAAACAAACTTGAAAATAGTTCAAGTATGATGAAAGATATGTGTATTTATATGTTAGATAAACATAATGACAATACAACTTGTCAAGACCAATAAATTTCGTATAGAAATTCAAGTTGAGTTGACAGAGAGCTTTAATTTTATTAACGAAAATACTCAAGTTATTTTTATGTTTTTATTACGTGTGTTGATAAAATCGGTGAGTTCAAACATGTTTTTTTAATACATCCCATTCGACGACCTTGACTTTGCGAGAATAGAAGCTTCCATTGTGGGGTATCTAATAATTATTTACAGGGCTTGTTCTCACAGTAGATCCTTTGTGATTCTCCCGCTGATAGACTTCAGTAGACAAAATATTGACATCTAAAAATAAAAACGCGCAGCTCTACAACACAAAATCATGAACGAGGGGTGTATATTATAGAGGGATAGAAAGAAAAAAAATTGAAATAAAACATGCTAGAATGGCTGTTAACAAGAGGTACGGCTTTGTATTATCAAAATCCATTTATTATTTCAACAAACTACTAATTTTTTATTTATATCTGTCATTAATAATATTTATTTATTAAATCTTCAGAGTCATATATGTGGTTTGAAAAAAATAATTCAGAATATTATGTTATTATACCTTAATAAATTTTATTGTAATGATTTTTCAAAAATGCTTTGAAAGTCATTGAATACTCAAAAAAAAAAAAGGGTTATTCATTAGAAATGATTTTTCATTATTCAATATCCTAGACAGAAACCCATAAAGAATCTGGCTTACGATTGGCTTTTAATTATAGATTCAAAAAAAAAATATTGAAGGTTATTCAGACGAGGTTAGAATATTGAAAATAGACGTACGCTAGGGCACGATTCAGTGTGATCGACTCGAAGAAACGTATATAGTAGTCCAGCATACAACAAACATCACACTGTGGCAACAATGAGCGGGAAGAATGTATTATACGCACTATGTGAATAGTGAGCACGTGCATTTCCCACAGAAAAGCAATGAGGCTTTTGTAGCGCGCGCGCGACCAGCTGGGAATGAAACGGTGGGTCGGTTGGATATACAGAGTATTCTGTGCTATGGGGACTGTACTATGGAGAAAGAGAAAAAGACTGATGCGGAAGAAAAAACTTAATATCGAGAGCCACTATTATACATTACAGTGTCGAGAAAACGATGATAAAATTAAATGAATAAAAAATTATATTTGCATTGAAAGAAATAATTTAAAAAGATTTATGTCTTTATCAATTAATCCATTTTTGGATCAATAATTTATCAATTAGCTAATTTTCTTATTTAATTTTTGTTACAGATAGCATATCGATTAGCAAGGATTCAAGCGCGATCATTATCAGGTGAATCTCGCGCCTAACCGCCCCAAAGTGGGGGTGGTCATTGAGGGGTTCGTACCGAGGCGATGGTGGCAGCTGCCACAGCTACGGCCATCGCCACTGCTAGCGTGGTGGCCATGCAGGACCGTCAGGACATCCCCACGCAATTCAATCAAGTACGTAATTCATCCCAGATGTCGTTATTTATATGATACTTTGCTAATGAACTTCCAATTAATTTTTTCATTATTTGTTATAGGGCCAGCATGGTATGCCCCATCAAACCTACAACATGGGGTATGGTCAACGAGCCGGACCAATGACCGGAATGGGACCAGTAGGAATGAATAACTTTAACGGGATGAGCTCTATGGGACCCGTTCATTCGATGAATTCTATGAATTCGATGAATAATATGAACGGGATGAATATGAACTCGATATCCATGAATGGGATGAACGGAATGGGTCCCATGAATTCGATGAACGGTATGAGCAATGTTACCAACAATATGGGTATGAACAACATGATGCCAGGAAATAATATGCAAATGAATAAGATGAACATGCAAGCGCAAGCTCAGCAAAGTGGATATCCCAGGAGATTGGCTCCTTATCCCAATCCTACTATGCACATGATTCAAAAGAGACAGCAAGCACCATATGCAGGAACGAATACTGCTATGCAGCAACCGGGTTTTAGCAATGTACCAACCAATCAATATCCAAACAATTATCCTACGGCCAGACCAAATTTTCATCCTCAGTATCAATCAATGCAAAGCATGAATACAAACACAGGCTTTGCTCCTAATACGATGATGCGAGGAACTAATATGAGACAAACGACACCGACTTACAATGCATCTCCAGTATCTCAGTCTAATCAGTATTACAGTGCAAATAACGGTGCGCCTGTCAATATGGGTTCTACGACTGTAAGTAACCAGTTTATTCATCAAACTAATCCAGGCTATTGCAATAGTTCTTACGCCAATAGTGGTCAGTATCAGCAGGATGTGTCGACGATGAGAAACACAGCTGCAGGAAATATGACCTATCAACATAGTCCCATTCCTGGTAATCCAACACCTCCTCTGACCCCAGCCTCCAATATGGCACCGTACATTAGTCCTAATTCCGATATCAAACCTAACTTTAATGATATGAAATCGCCAGTTAACATTCAGAAAGATGATGAATTGAGATTAACATTCCCTGTGAGGGATGGCATCATTCTTCCACCCTTCCGTCTGCAACATAATTTAGCTGTTAGTAATCACGTATTCCACTTGAAACCGACCGTTTATCAGACACTAATGTGGCGGTCAGATCTAGAACTCCAACTTAAATGTTTTCACCATGAAGATAGACAAATGAATACAAATTGGCCGGCCAGTGTTCAAGTATCAGTAAATGCCACACCTCTAATTATTGACCGGGGAGAAAATAAAACATCTCACAAGCCACTTTACCTCAAAGATGTCTGTCAGGGAGGCAGAAATACTATTCAAATTACAGTATCAGCATGTTGTTGTGTAAGTATTCATTTATTATAAATGTCTTTTGCAATGTTGATATTTATGCAATTACCTTATCTTACTAATATTGGCTTTTCTCGTTTACAGTCTCATCTTTTCGTTCTACAATTAGTTCATAGACCAAGTGTACGAAGTGTACTACAGGGTCTATTGCGCAAAAGATTACTTGGTGCTGAACACTGCATCGGTAAAATCAAACGGAACTTCAATAATACCATGCCGAATAACGGGATGCAATCTGAGAAAGATGTTGTAGAGCAAACAGCGTTAAAAGTATGCATACACACGTTACTCATTTAAAAACTACTTGACTTATTCGTTGACCTTATAGTTTATCTTTTTTTTAAATTATAACTTCAATTACAATAATTATCATAATATCTATTTGAATTTTCAGGTATCATTGAAATGTCCGATTACATATAAACGAATTGCACTGCCAGCAAGAGGGCACGAGTGTAAACATACACAGTGTTTTGATCTGGAGTCTTATTTGAAATTAAATTGTGAACGTGGGTCATGGAGATGTCCAGTCTGCACGTAAGTATTTATATCAAGCTATTATTATTTTCAAGTTATAAATTTGATTTAGTTACATATTCAATATCAATTTTTTTATATTTTTTTAAAAAACGTTTCTCAGTTTCAAGTAGAATAAATTCTAATGATAAATAATTATTTTTTAATAGAAAACCAGCACAATTAGAAGGTCTTGAAATCGACCAGTATATGTGGAGTATTCTCAATACTATGACAACCACACCGGAAGTAGAGGAGGTAACGATAGACTCGGCAGCCAGTTGGAAGCCATCGAAAAGTATGACCAACATCAAGTCTGAAGAAGACAATGACTGCAAGAGAATGATCAAAGCCATGTCACCAGGCAGTATGAACATGCCTACGATGAATAATTGGGATATGAACCAAGCCATGAGTCCCTATATACCTCCAGATATGAATAGCATTATCAGTGGTTCCATGATGAATAACGGTACTCCTACTTATGGAAACAGTAACATCAATCATAGGAATTCATCCGGTGGATCGTATGACATCAATTCTAATACTACCACCACTGGTAGCAATGATTATACCAATGGCGCTGGTCCTCTTACTCATTTGAGTGATTCAGTTAATTCTCTTGACCCGCTTAATGCCATGGAAAAGTCTCTTAATGATCAGGTAAGTTCTTTATTCATATTGTTTTTAAAAGTACAAAACTATCGCCGGAAGTTTCATTCCTAATTGTTTCATTGTTTTTTTTTTTTAAAGATGCCTCACACGCCGCACACACCTCATACACCCCATACACCTCACACTCCTGGTGGTGGAAATAGTGGACCACCAAGCGTACCTCCTGCGTCCCAAGAGTCTACGGGAAATCACAATACCTCCGGAAATAGTAGTTCTAATATTAATACTGACACTACTGATATTCCATCGGATTTAAATTTTGATCCCGCTGCAGTTATTGATGGAGAAGGAACGGGACAAGAAGCGTTAAATGTGAGTATTTTATTTTCAATAACGATACAACACTTACTTATAAAGAAAGGTATTTTAAATTTTCAATTAGTTATTTTATATAAGAGACAAATTGAGTATTTTACATTAACGTGTATGTTATGTTATCAATATTGAGCCGCAGGATTTCTTTTCCCTGATACAAAAGTCGTTACGGTATATAACCCCTTAAAATAGCTTGGGTTGAAAAATTTATCCGGCTTTTGTCGTAAAATTTTAATTTGAAACTATTTTTCTTATACTGCTGATAACAATAGATTAACTAGTATAAAATAGCTATTTTAAAAAGCCTATCTTTAGAAAACAGAATAAGAAAAAATTTCCAATATTTTTTTATTCAACAACTTTTTTTAATTAAAACTTTATTCAAATCTTGAGATATATACCATGGAATGAAATAATATTTAATAAAATAAATACGATAAAAAGAAATAACTATGGGTAATGATATAAAGAGAAATCGCGCCAAATTTATTCGAAACGGTTCATTAATTTCTAACATATTTTTGGCGTTGATCCAATGATTGGTGAATTTATTTAATGAAATATGAACAAAATATAAATCAGTCTATGTCTTAAAAATAAAATTTTTCAATTTATTTATTGATTGTTTTTTTTGTATTTCAGTTGTTACCAGATAATGTAGTGGATCCAATGGAATTGCTGTCATATTTAGACCCTCCGGATCTCAATACTCCACCAAGTAGTGGAGCCAGCAGTGGCAATCCATCGTCCAGCGATGACATTCTAGCACTATTTGAGTAATGGAAATAATAAATGACTATTGACATAATAATCAAAGGAATACCCTTCATCAGGGAGATAAAGAATAAATAAGTCAATGTTACTTTGCAATGAATGAATAAATAATAATTATAGCAAGAGTATTGAGATAAATAAAAAGTGAATTATGTGCATAATTGTCACATAAGCAAAAATGGTACAAACAAATTTTAGCTCTAATTTTAATATTTCTATTAACAACTTTAGGGCATATTAGATGTAGATGATTATCTATTACATTTGTAGTACAACAGGATTATTCTGTTAGGGCTAGTGGTAGATTACATCCTTGACGGACCAGATTTCAGAATGGATGAATGGGTTATAATTGACATAATATGTTTGTCTAATAACAATATTTCTGAAAAAATGAATTCAAGTATTTATAAAAATACAATTGTTTTAATTTAAAAAAAAAATTAATAACAATCTATTCATTTTTACAACTGTAATAAGACCTATAACATTAAAAAGATAATGTACAGGATAAAAACTATATTTTATTTTTTTGTAAATAAATTTCATTTTGTGTAGAATTAAGATTCTCAATTGTTGTAAGTCATTTTACTTATTGATGGAATAGAAAGCATAGATTATTGATTCCATTTAGAGAAAAGTTGATGAAATAAAAATAAAAAAAACAATAAATTTTTAAAAAAAACCATTATAATAGATGAAAAAATTATAAAACTGTATTTACAAACAAAATTGAATAAATTACGAGCATCATAATGTCATAATTTATGGATAATTATTTGCTGTTTAATTTACACACTCAATGATTTAATCATATTTATAACAAAAAGTTCATGTTTCATTAAAACTTTCCTTTTATTAAAATGAAATCTTATCGCCGAACAAAAAATGCTGATGTAAATATAATGTATGAAAAAAAATTGTGTTTTTTAAAAATGCAGCAGTGGAGGTGAACAAAAATATAATAAAAAATATACAAACCGTGTATTTACAATAGAAGCTATTTCTAAAGTAATATTATTTTAATTGCATCAGTGCAGTTTTTTTTCATTTACGAAATGGGCTTGAATATTTGAGTAGTAAAATGAAAAATTACATGTACGAGAAAAAATGCAGTCAGATGTGCCTAAGAAAGAAAGAAGTGTTTCTTGAACAAGTGGCAAAAGCTTCTCACGATCTTCTGCTTGTGTAGTCATTACATTAGTATTTTTTGTGATTGAAAAAAAATTTTAAAAAAGCAAAGGCAAGAGATATACATAAAGTGATTCATGTAGATTATACAAAATTTTTTTAAAGCCTCATATATATATGCATATATATATATATAAATAAAAAAAAAAGAAAAATTACATATTATATACATATGGATAAATATATATGTGACGCACAATGGAAAAAAATAAAGTAGATAACGGTCAAGTTTCTATTTAAATCATTATTATATACATAGTTGCGATTAAATTTTATTATTACTTATGTCATAAGCACGACTATTGTAAAATATTTGTATATATGAAAAAAATAGATTAATAATATAAGAAATACGGCGGATATTTATTGGCCAGTTATAAACAGTAAGAATAAAAAATTTAATTAGTTCAAAAACCAAAACTTGCGAGTGATATATGAAAATAACTTATCATAAATCAAAAGTAACAACGTGTACATGCATAAAAAAATTAAATAGCGATGACAGTTTCTAACTGTAACGTTATTATACTTATGGAAACTATTATCTATTTATTAAAAACATAATTATCTCAAAAAAATAAAAATGACAAAGTTATTTAAATTGCAAGCTTTACTTACAACCGCCAGGAAGAGTAGTAAAAGCTAATGAGTCTCATTGTAAATGTACATAGGCAATAAACTACACATATACCTTATTATGCCCCTAATATTATTCTAAAATACACGTAAAATATACATTTTCATTTATTAATCGACAGAGTTTATAGTAAACTAGGCAGACCCAAAATATTCAAAAGCCTAGGTAGTATCCATCAAAGACTTTTATTGGTTCTATCAAACTATCATGTATTATTTTACATTTTAATTAAAAAACTATTTTTTTTATGGATGATTCATATAAAAAGTACATCATTAAATTATGATTCAGATTTCTCTAAACCATTGGCACTAAAAAATATAATATATATTTTAAAGAGCCTACATTTCAATTCAAACATCATAAAAATTTTAAACAAAAAGACATAAATGACGGATAAGATACATACAACATCCGTAAATCTAGAATTTTCTGGAAGAAAATCATGTACACAAACATAATAAAACCATTGGTTGCATTCACGAGACAAATTTTCTTACATGGAAATCAATTTATAATAAATATGACAGATAAAATAATGTTTTCCGATATGATTAGATTAAATAAAAAAAAACATAAATACACAATAATTGTTTTTATACCTACCATCCCATCTTTTCGTTTTTCTACTGTATTAGGATAAGATAATGGTATTAATTTAAAATAAAATTATTGTAAATTATAATATTGATATTTGAAGTTAATTTTGTATAAATTATCTAAATATATTTTAAACAAATGTCTGTAATACAACTTAGAATAATATGTACATGAAATTCTTATCTGCAAACATTTTAAATTTAATTCACACACGTACAGTAGTATACTTACATAAATATGTTTAAAGCTAGTCTTATAGTTACAATATGTAATGAGCTCCTTTTTAAACATCCAACAAACTCTCACGGAAGATTTAAAAATTCCAAAAAAATAATAAGTCATATAGTCTTCAATGATATTCACGTCTATTTTCTAAACAATCTGGCACTTACTCTCACGCATACATTAATTATTAACAAGAAATATACAAGCTTAAACTTTATCAGGACATTGCACGATTGCTATCTATATATTCATATACTCAATAAAATTAATTATATACAAGAGTATAATTATAATTGATTTTTAATAAATATTCAACTATTTAGTGATATTTGAAAGGTTTATATCAAAGCTGAACGATTTTACGCTTCCGGAAGAAAAGTATGTTATCAATAGGAGAGAGTGTGAAATTTCAATTACACACTCAATCCCTATATACATTTTTCTTTTTTACTCCGGAAAGGTTTAAGTCAGTCCAACCCTGATTAAAGTGATAGCTGGAGTCTTTCATAATACTCATAAAAAAATCACAGCTATTGAAATCTAAATTTTTTTGCAATTAATTGCAGAAGTTCATTTTTTCATGTTAGTATAAATTAGACTACCAGTTTGAAGACACGATGGTCAATATGAATACATTTTTTATGATGTCAAAATTCATTTACCATAATTTAATTAAAATGGAATTTAAATTGGAAGGGTGAGTCATGGAAACGATGGAATTCTTGGAAGGGATTGAATCCTTGGTGATGATGTTTTCCTGATTCTGGATCTAAAGGATCTTCACCTCGATCAAACTTTGCTCTCTTTTCATCATCAGTGAGTACTTCCTTCGCTGCAGCTATGTCAATGAATTTCTTTTGCGCTCGTTTTTTCTCCTCACCTTCTTGGAAATTATCCGGATGCCATTTTTGGGCTGCTTTTCTATAAGCCTTTACTATTTCTTTTTTTGGTGCATTCCTTGAAACGCCTAAAATCTTATAATAGTCCCTAGATTCAGACATTTTTTGTCGTTGTTGTGCTGTTTGCAGCAGTTCTTTTGCTCTACTAAAGTGTGAATCTATTTCTAATGCACTTTTCAGTTCTCTTATTGCTAAAAATAAAATTAATTATTTATAAATAAACATTTTGGCACTATAAATTATTTAAAAAACAATAAAGAATTCAATCAACTCTTACCATCATCATACATTTCAGCAGCAAGATAAGCTTCAGCACTATCACACAGTAATTCAGGATCCTTTTGATTTTTCAGAGCTTCTTGACAATGTTTAATTCCAGAAGTTGCATCATTTGTATGAGGATAACATTTACACAGTAATTGATGAGCATTAAATCTAACATTTTCCATTTGTTCTGCTTTTAAAACTTTATTTCCAAAAGTGACGCATGTGTCATAATCTTTCGACTCCTCCGCTTTAGTTGCTTTCTCTAAATATTTCGCAATATCCTTTATCTTTTTATAGAAAGCAAAACATTCTTTGTGCTCTGGATCAAGTTTTAAACAATTTCGAATTTCACTAAAATAATAATATTTAACAAGTTAATTACATAATATATTTTTAGCCTTTTTGTTTTGGAATATTTGTTATTACTTACTCTAATGCTTTACTAACATATCCTAAACGATACAAAAACATTGATAATTTATAGTAACCCTTTGTATTATCGGGTAATAATTTTGTAGCTGAACTGAAGTCCGTAATAGCATTCATATAGTCTTTATTTATTTCATAGCATTGTGCTCGTAATTCTCTTAGCTCTACCGCCCAAGGACAAGCTTTGATTATTTGAGATATCATCTTAATACCTTCAGAACATTGTCCAGTTTTAGCTAATAGTTGTGCATCTCTATATATTCTTCGAAGACTTTCTATTTCTTGATATGAGCTTAAAGCTTGTTCATTATATGGTTCTAGTTCTAACTATAATGATAAGGAATAATTTAAACTATAATTTAAAAAATAAATAATACACAATATTACAGAGTACAATACTTACTACTTCTGAATATTCTTTTTCAGCTTTCTCAAATAAACCTTGTTTGAGGAAAATTTCTGCTCTATGAATTTTTGTTGCTATAGAATCTGGTTTAAGCTCCAAGACTCTATCAAAATCTTGTAGAGCAAATTTAGGTTTTTCTAGAGCAACATAAACAATACCTCGCTTATAGTAGGTCAAATAATTACTTGGATCCCCAGCTGTGAAAAAAACGATTAAATAAATAATAAGTTATAAATGACCTGACGAGAAAGTATTGCAGTTTCTAGCTTTTCACTTCAACTTACCTAGTACAGCATGATATTGAGTTAATGCATCATGAAATTGCCCTTTACTTAAAAAGCTATCACCAAGTTTTTGATGCTTCTCAATTTCTGATTGTGAAATACTACACCCAACTATAAGAATTTTAAACAAATTATTATTCAAAGTTTTACTGATTTTTGGTAATTGACATTTATGTTTAATATGGTTAGCTCACTCACCATCTAATGACAAATTTAATAAAACGAAAAGCAAACCAAGAGGAAACATGTTTTGACTATGAAACGTAACCAAAGACAGTTTGGTAGATTTATGAAACGAAAAGCATAGCCGTAATACTTTACAAATACTCATTTATCTGTTGAATACTTGTATCTGGCGAGCCACACAAGCATTGCGGTCGTGGTTACACGTGATTGGTCCAACGCACACTGTATTATACAATGTGTTGATTCTAATACTAACTTACCAAATGAGCAACATGTATATATACATATATATATGTAGAATCTGAAAGTACGGTAGGTAGTCGGTAAGAATTAATTTAAAGGACCGTTTACAAAGAACATTATATACTCATAAAGCCTGAAGAACAAGGTATTGGCGTAATACCTGAAACTTAAAAAATTCATGCTATGTTGGTTCAGAGTAATGTTCTGTTCTTATACTACAAACAGCAACAGTATTTTATAAGACGAAATTACAGTTAATTTCTAATTTCTCAAGTTGTATGTATAATGTTCTAGTGTGGATGCTTTGAATCATTTTATTAAATAATCAAATATCACAACAGTTAACGAATAAAAAAGTTTTTATTTTGTTAAAAAATTTTATATTCGTGAAAAACACTTTTAAATTGGAAGTATGTGAAAAAAAATCTTTTAATTGTGTTTATTCACAGATAGAAATGATTCCAAGTCTATTTGCACAGATTTTAATGTATTCATTCTTATTTAACTATCAACTTAAATATTTATCATTTTACAAGTCGTTAAGCTGCATTAAACAAAAGGATTGTCAAAGAAAATATTTTGTAAATCTTGTTGAATGACGTACATATTTTACAAAATTTGTTACTTATTATTTGGCCGAGTTTTAGCATTTTGTCGAGCACAGAATGCATGATTATGAACTTTTAAAGAATTGAACACTTTGTTGTTTAATTTGACATCAAAGCCACCAGTATCTCCAGTAGAAATTCCTGGGGGAAATTCTAGAACTCGGCAGGCATTTATTCGAGAAGACATTAATACATCATGTTTCGTCACTATTCCAGATCCTTCAGCGTTCTTTTTGTATCCACAACGACGTACATCAGCGAATTCTTTTTCTATACTCTAATACATAAAAAAAGCAAATAAACATAAGAACTTTGATTAATCTAACATTAAATATCTCAGTATCTTACCACAAAGCGATCTAAATCTTGTTCTTCATCATTAGTATTGTCTTTTTCTTCTGCCTCTGCTTCATAACCAATTAAATAATTCGATAATGACACTCCAACTTTAGAAAGACCATTGAGTTTTTCTTCAGTTTTCTTAATCATATGATCATAATCTCGGTTATATTGATGTTGTAACATTTGTGCGATGGCTACATCATTATCAGTATCTATACCATCAGCATTTAACTCTTTCTCCTCTTTTGGAGCATCTGTTTTCATGTCATTATCACATAGTTTTACTTTCCTAGAAAATTTGAATGATCTTGAAATTAAAATAATAACTTAAACAAATCTTTCATAATTAAGATTATATTATAATTAATTCATACTCTTGGTCATATTGTTGTTGCAGAAGTTGTGCAATCACACCATCATTATCAGTATTGATTGGTTCAGATGTTTTCGATTGTTCAATAAAATCATTATAACGTTCTAATTCCCTGTGGTATTAAGAAAATTTATTATTAAAAAGTAGAAAAAATTCGAAAACTTTTATTTTCAAACTGAACCTTTTTTGCATATTTTTTACTACTTCCTCGGCAGTAATTTCATCAATGGACAGAGATTCCATCATTGGTTGAATTTTTGCCCATGGAGATGCCATTATTATAAATAATCAATATTATTATACTTGTTACAAAAAATCTAAAAATGCATTTATTTATAATTTAATAAGTATTGATAAAAAAATTATGCAATATTTTATGGATAGGTACTGAAAAAGTTATCAATATTTTTATAAAATAAGATTATTTGGAACTTACATGACTAGAACAAGAAAGTCTTGAAAAATAATTAATTGTATAAAAAAATATATAAAATTTGTATGATAAATGTATTTTACAAATTTACAAACTTAATGTGAGTACAGAAGTTCTTTCAATAACAATAGGTTAGTGTATGATGTCAAAATATTTTCATGAACTTTTTTTTTCTTGATTAATTATGGTCGCGACACCTACAGTAGTTAAAGAAGAAAACATCCCTAATATACCAACAGTACACTCGGCGTCATTAAGGCTGGGCTGAAGTCAGAAAGTTTCCCGGAGTTGACTTTACGCCCTCACGTTGTGCGGCGAAAAGCCGAAGCTCGATATCAATTGAAATTGAGTAGGTAACAGAGAAATCGTTCGAAAAATGATAATTTTCAGGGATGCACTACAAAAAGGGAGCCTTAGGGTACCAAGAAATTTACAAATTTCAGAATAATCTGTTCCGAGCAAGACAGAGCACAAAATATATCTATCTATCTCCGTCTTATTTTTCAGAGCAGACTGCGAGTTCGAACAGTTGACGAGCAAGCACATTCCCCACCCTCTGTTACTAAGCCTGAAGCTTACGATATCTAAACGTAAACAAAGCAAATGAAAATATGCTAGCTCTATAGTCAGAAGGTTCGACAGTTATTTTACCGAACGGTGTTCGATTCCAATTGCGGCAAAATTTTTTTTTTATTTAAATTGCATGTAATTGCAATTTTATCATGCCAAAAATGAGTTTTAAATTTCAATTTTTATGTAAAATTTTTTTTTCAATTAATCAATGACAAATGAGAAAATATTTGAACAGGGTCATTAACCTTTTTTTGTACAAATACATTGATAATAGCCTTTTTTAACAACTTATTAACAATAAAAAATTGTTTAAACAATCCGCGGCGAGTTCCGATACTTCGCCGGCAAGCTCGACCCCCACTTTCTGTGCCCAAGCCTGTAGCTCATAATTTTCAAGCATCGTTTATATAATTGGAACTATAATAGCTCAGTGGTTAGAGCCCCGACCTTTTATTTTGCTGGGCAGGGTTCGATCCCAGTCATAGGCAATTTTTTTTTCTGTTTCTTGTTCAAGTAACTTTATATACTTATAAATTAATTCATATATTTGATTAAATTATTCTTCCAATTAATTACGAAAAAAAACTTGTTTTTCTGAAAATAAGCTGAGGGTGAGGAACGAGTTACTATGAATTCTCTTTTTTAGAAAATGTTGTCTTTAAAAGACACTAGGAATTGATTTTGAGCTTATACAAACAACCAATTATTGTATTTATATAAAATTTTAATGAAAAAAAAAAAATTGGCTATAACTGGGATCGAACCCTAATCGGTAAAATGAAAGGTTGGTGTTCTACTCACAGAGCTAACACATCATCTCTGACATTATGTTTATGTTTATAAATTGTATAATGCAGGCTTGAGTACGAAAGGTGGGGATAGAGCTTGCCGGCGAAGTGCCGGAAATCCCCGTGGATTATTTCAACTACTTCTAAATATTTCTAAATTGCTTAAAAAAAAGCTACGTTCATATAGCTATAGTAAAAAAAGTGTTTATAACCCTGTTCATATGTTTTCCGACTCGGCGTCGATAAATTACATAAATAATTGAGAAAAAAAAATCAAATCGTTGGTAAGAATTCATTTTAGCATGTTAATATTATAATTACATGCAAATCTAACAAATGAAAAAGAAAAAAAAAACTACCATGACTGGAATCGAACCCTGCCCATCAAAATGAAAGATCGATGCGCTAACCACCGAGCTATTATGATTACAAAACATTTATATATGCTCAAAAATTATAAGCTGCAGGCTTGGGCATAGAGAGTGGGGGTAGAGCTTGCCAGCGAAGTGCCGGAACTCGCCACGGATTGTTTAAACTACTTTTCAATGTTGATAATAATATGATTAACTTGTTAATAACATAACATTGTTAATACATGTAAAGATGTATAAGTTGTTAAACACAGGCTATTATCAATGTATTCATACAAAAAGAAAGTTAATGGCTCTGTTCAAATATTTTTCGACTTAGCGTCAATAAATTCAATGAATAAAGAGAAAAAAAAATCAAATTGTTATAAAAGATTAATTATAGCATGTCAATATTATAATTACATGCTAATCTAACGAATAAAGTAGAAAAAAAAAATTGGTTATGACTGGGATCGAACCCTGCCCGGCAAAATAGAACTCTGACGCCCTAACCACATGGCCAGCATAATCTCGATATTGAGTTAATGTATATTTGTTTTTACACTACATGCTTGGATACGCCGACTTGGAATTGAGCTTCCTTATTAACATTTATACCTAATAAAAATGATAATAATGGATGAATATATGTATTTGAAGTTTTTTGCAGGTATTATATTAATTAATGTTAAATGAGTATCATCATTTTCATTTATCCTAACTGCAATAGTCATCAAAGTGTAGGGCATTGTAAAGTGATACACTATGTTTACATCACATACATATATTACCCGTACACACACATACAGAATTTACTCGCCAAAATGCAGGGCACCATCAGTTCTGGATACGGATTGAGCATTTTTTCAATATGGATGACTGAGGTCATCTGCGAGCATAATGCTGTCACCTATCAGAATTTTTTCAAACTAATTTTCCGGAGAATATCATCTGGAATACAAGATTTCTAATTATTTCTAAATTATTCAATTTTATACTATGAATTGATTTTTTTAACATTCAGACAGGTGGCAAGGACTGACGCAAACACGAATTTCGGGCGAAAAACGTATAAAAATGAAATAATTAGTGATTTTTCATCTGAATGATGTGGCCGCCATCTTGAAATTTAAGCGCGGCAAGTCAATTCATAATTTTTTCATGATTCTTTCTAATTTTTTTAATAAAAATATTCACTATATACAAAAAATTGTTGTTTACGTCAGTCCGGCATTAATTCCTCTGTAATTTGGTACCTAATTTTATAGAAATAATTGTAAATTGGCGAAGAAATTAGAAATTTCCCGATCCCATGTATCCCAAATGGATAGGGGGAATCAGTTGCCTTTCTGACTTCAGCCCAGCCTTAATGCCTGGTCCATCAAAAACTTTGATACCATCAGAGCAATTATCGATGGAGTAGTTTTTTTTACAAATAGAGATTCCACATCTAAATTAATTTAGAAAGTTCATGATTAAATACCCTTTTAGATAGTCCCTATAACAATGAAATATCCCGACTAAAAAATTTTTAAACCTTAATTTAAATCTCATCAAAAACAGCCCCCTCCTTCTGGGCTGTACAAAAATGTGCGCCAAACATAAATTACGACAATGATGAAATTACAAAAAGTCCTAAAATCATTAAACGTCAATTATTTAAATCTACAAATCAACAATATTTAAAATGAATTATTTTCTTCGGTTTTTTTGTTTTGAAAAAAAATTTAGTACGTTTAATGACACAATAAACATAACAAAAAAAAACTTGGGGTGACTGTTATTTATTAATTGGCTTAAATATTTTCAATATTTTCACAATTTCATGCTTTTATAAAATCTTACCAGTCATGCCAAGTTTTTGGTGAGAGGGCTGTTTTTGATGAGATTTCACCATTTTTTGTACATATCAACTGAAAAGGAATATTAAAAAAAAATAAATCTGTTCAGAAAATATTTTAATTATTTGTATATTCGCGCTCGAGCAAAATTAACTTGTTACCAACTTTATAATCTGTTAGTGAGAGAACTTCATAGCAATTAAAAACTCTGATCACCAACTTGATAAAAAAAACGTATGATTGCTCCATAAATAAACTCTCATTTTACTCCATTTTTGCGCAACGAAATTTTTTCAATTTCGTATATTATGAATGAAGCAATGATAATACTTCATAGTATGCTTGATCGAAAATCAACGATCGCTTCCCGAGCAAATTCTTAATTTCAGCCTATGTTTATGTTATAATAAGGAAAAAATTTTAAATTTAAAAATTATAACCTGCAAAAATCATCTTACAATTTGTATAGAGACACGGTAGTGCCTCGTCGTGACGTAAGGGCTAAATGGCGGCGATTGATGCTTGGCGCACGAGACACTACCGTATCTCTTGATAATAACAAGAAAATTTGTATAAATATAGCGAATGAATGGTTTATGTATTTCTTACGTAAATATTGATAAAAAAGACAAATCATGAAATTTATTTAAAGATTATCTTAAAATAAGAATAATTTTTTTCCTTTAATTAAAAAAAAGTTACCAACTATGTTACATGGATGGTAATTGACTCTATTTGTTTATAACGACTGAATTTGTTATAAATAATCAAAAACGGAATTTATGCAATTAATTCGAATTCTTGCAACGGGATTTTTTTCTTATTTTAACTGATAAAAAGTTATTACTTATGTTGAATAAATGTAATCGAACATGTTATTAATTACGATTGTAATCGCTTTAAATGAGCATATATCAAATCTTACATTAAAATTCGAATTTTTACTGTCTCAATTCATACACACAAATTTATTACTTTTTCTTTTATGTTATCACAAAGTATTACGTATTTAGAATTGGGACATCTAAACGACACAATTCTTATTTAAAACTTCACTTAATCAATCGATTCTTATGTAACGCAATCATACCACATCGATTATTTACAATAAATAAGAGATTCTATTAATTGGCTGAAAAAGCGGATGGTTTCTAATCTCCGTCCATCAATTCTTTTAATTTATTACTGTTTATACCAGTCAAACAGTATTCACGTGGACAAATTTGCGAGAATAAGCTCGTATCGTAGCATAGATAGAAAAAAACCAATACATCCTATATCTTTTGTCAGACTTAATTTTTTTACCCTGGTGCACTGCAAATCCCAGGATTCCACAAACATGTTAAAATAACACACATAAAGCGTATTCAATGTAAAATGTCTATAAACAAACAATAAATTATTTGTAGACACTTTTTACACATTTCATAGTGTGTGAAAAATCTATAGTTTTTTTACGGCATTTAACATTGAAGAGGCTTAGCATGTTAAAAGTGTCTACAAGAATAACACACTTGGATTTGCAGTGTGAAAAAATTGGTATCACTTCGACTTCGCTCAACTTATCTCAAATCAACTTGCCTTGCTGTAATCATTGCTAAAAATGA